CTACAGCCCACTTCTTCGGATGTAGTCCACGAAAGCTTATGCTCTAATAAATTTGTTAGTCTCTAAGGTGCCACAAGTACTCCTGTTCTTCTTTTTGCGGATACAGACTAACACGGCTGCTACTCTGAAACTAATAACTCAGAGATCCAATTTAAATGGCTGAAATTCATGAATTGGTAAGTAAGTGAATGAACAACAACAAAGAAAGGTTTCTGCAACACAAAATGTACTTTGTTTATGTTGATACGTGTATTTTAGTTTTATGATAATACTTTATAACATTCTAGTAAATATGCCATAATATATTCTGTAAAATAAGATCCATAGTATTGAGACCTCACTACAGTACACTGCTCTTAAATCTTTGCTAAGATGCAGGGAGAGACCACAACATTTTTATTTTTACTTTATTCCCGGGGGGGGGGTTATAAAATGTCTGGATTAATGAGGTTGTACTGCAGTAAACAAAAAGCAAAACAAAATATAGGGCAAACTTTTATCCCTACAGTTTATTTCATAGGTTGTAACTATTTAGTGTGCCTGAGATGTTTCCTTCCTGATCCTCCCAACCCCTTTGTCACATTACATCACTTGAAAACTGCTGGGCTGTGGGGAAGAGGAAGCAACATAAGAAAACTCTATATAAATGCTTAATCATTACTGATGTTTACAGATTTTTGAAACATACTGACAAGAGAATGATGAGTATTTTATCCTAACAAATTTTAAGCCACCCAGTTGTCTGAATTGCTCATTCATCTCTTCTGACATCTAAGTGATGAGTTCTACATCAGAAGTGAAATATTTCTTATGCTTTCTTAGGATCAACTGGGAGTCTGAAGTATCAGCCTTCTAATATGTATCATTCTGCTCAGCAGGCAAAATTTTAAAATAGGTTAAATAGGACATAGATATATACCAGCTCAAATCTTTGGTCCATTCCAACAAATCCTCAGCAAGGATCATAGGGTCTTGAGGACTGTGTGTCCACTACATGAAAGCATGACACATTCTTTATCTTTATGTGAAGTTGCTAATTACAGACTCTCTTATTTAAAATCCAAGTATGCTCCACCTTGATAACTTGACAATAACTTTAGTCAAGGTATTTTCTATTTGGAATCAGACATAAGCTGTTCCTTCCAGTCCAGGCTAAGATGAACCATGGCCAGGTTTTTCCTAGGCATAGAGCCTGACAAGCCCTTTACTCCCAGAAAACATGCAACTCCTGGTGTCCCAGTAAAATAAAACAAACTGAAATAAACAATCAACCACCCAATCCGGAGGCTGCCAGGCAAATAAAGCTGAGTCCCTATCCTTAGGATGATTCTGCCCTGGACCCTGCAAGCAGAGGTCTTGTACAGCTGGAAGCAGGGCAGATCCTGTCCCTCTCTAGAACAAAGGTTTCCCAGCCCAAACACACACTTTTAAGGCTTGCTTGCTTCCTGAAGGCAGCTCAGCTGTTAGCGTTCCCTCTAAGCTAGAGAGCTCACACACATCTCATCTGGGATGGACAGGCACTTCTCCCTTCCGAAGAGAAAGTTCTTTAACTACTTCTCCACTTGCTGATCACATTGCCTTACATTTTGTTACACTGCCTCTGGTACTTCCCCCACCCTCGATGCCTTTGGGGAAGACGAAGTCCGTCTATAAAAACCACCTAGTCAAGTCTGCATAGAGGAAAATATTCCTTCCTGACCTCAGCAATAATCACTTTATGTCCAGAAGCATAAGGCCTCACTGTCTTCATTCTTAGTACGTATAACTACAAATGCTAAGAGTGGTCATAAACTTAACCAACCTTTTTATGTTCTTGTTTTATTATATCCTTATTCCACAATAACTTTCTAAAAGTGGTAAACAATTGATACAACCACACACACACACTGTACAATGGTTGCCCCTAAAAATGCATTTAAAATTTGCTTTTTACTATAGTAATTGTTTTATCACCTATAGATAGAGTAGGAAATACTGTGTTAATGTTATTTATTTACAAAGGAAATTGGCAACGCCTTAAAGGATGGTGTTAACACATAGACCTGAAAGCTCTAAATTAGGTTAAAAAATTGTTAATCAAAATTATCATGAAGATTTGCAAAATTAGGCTAAGAAAAATAATAAAAAATGATAACAAGCAAATTTTACATTGCTTATAGAGTGCAAAAATATATCTAAAGGTCATGACTTATTTTTGCAGTCACTTAAACATATATGCTTGTAATCAGCGCTAACTACTTGAATAACAAGTTATAAGAGTATAAGAAAAACTATGAGAAAGGAGTAAGTCTTTCAAAATCATAAAATTCCAACTGCAAAGGGGAAAAATAAGTGATTAATTAACAAATGTTATTGTCTTTGTTGGTCAACATTTGTTGTGATCTTTTATACACTGGAATATTGGTGTGTGTTAAATGTAACTGTCTAGACAATTAATCACAAAGTAGTCATTTGATACTAATAGGACAATAATAAGTTACACATTTAGCCACAAACTGTAAAATGAAATAAATAAAGGGGGGAATATAAGAAATCTGTACACTTTGAACCACCTTGGCCCAGTAGTAGCCTTGTGGCCCCAGAGTGGGTCAGTAATTGCGTCTCTTCACTGTGCTGTTGTTTTTTTTGGTCAGGCAACCTGATTTAATCAACTCAGTTGGCATTTACTATTTGAGGTTTCAGTAACCAATACTTTAATAGAACCCATTACTTACAATGGCCACAACACCTAAATATACAAACAATACTGCGAATGGACTGGGTTAAATAGATGAGACAATACAATGCGTGGCCCCACTGTATTTTTCCTTTTATAAAAGATAAGCAAACACAAAATAAAAATCAAGGGAGTATTTCTGTTTGAAACATGCAGCTCTCCTGGAAGATTCTCTATTCTTATTCCTTCATTTAATCTCTATGCAGTATCTTTTCTAGCAGACTATAATTTACTATTTTTCTCAAATCAGTTATCAGTTTGTTAAGGTAATAATCTGCATGGGTATGGTCTTTGTAGAGGCATTCTGAATGCATTCTCCCTTTTCTCCCAGCCCTACTCAACACATTGCTTTCTACTGTTTTTGATGTCAGAATGCAGCCATCTCCAGGTGAAACATATGGAAAAGGCCCCATAGATATGGACACAAATACACATTACTGATGTTTATTTTCTAGCAAACAGATACAAACTGAATAATATGAAAGATGGATCACCATTTAGAAATACTACGTATGTGCTGGAGGCAGACATAAGACACAACCCATCGCATTAATATGGTAGTTTAAATGCTCCAACAAAGCCAAACAAACTGCACTGCATCACTAGCAACATCTCCAGGGTGATGATGCATAAAGTCAGAGGGATTTTCTAGTCAATAGCAGGAATTAGAGTTTAATGCCTTGTACTAAGACACTTCATACTCCTGAAATGTGACTTATATAAACTGAATCTTGGCAGATGCAGTGTTTGCTGAAGCTGAAACTTGGAAGCAATGTGAATGTGGTTTCTGAAGCTAATGCAAAAAATGCCTTATTTTAAAAATGGCTCTTTTATAGTACTTCACAGCATTTTGTTTTCATTCGGCCTCAACTTAGCAGATCTTTAGAGTGTAATTTATGGGCTTTTTCATAGCCTGTTCTTAAAAGGCTGCTAGCAGAACATACCTGCAATCAGACAAACCCTCAATTATACCCAATTACCCAGAATGTATTTGAAGTGCTTCAGGACCATTCCATAATGAACAGAAACCTTCATCACCTGTCATAGCCAGTTTGAGAGGGATACACCCATCACTTTTGCTTCTGTCCTCAGGTAAAGAAACAAGTCTTTTGACTAGCAGTGCAGATATGGGTTGCACTAACAGTGATGTAAGGTTCGATCGGTTCTGTCTGTAGTTTCCATCTGAAAATGAATAAAAGAGAGCAAACAGCAATTTAGTAAATGAAAAATTAAAAAGGAAAATATTTCCAGAGTCTGCATAGGTCTTAAAATAGACAAAGCCAGTACACAGTTTATGATAGAGCAGACTCACCCCTACAATGAAAAGTTGGATTTAGATTAGCAGCTGTTATTCTGCACTTACATTAATGAAAGAATTGTAAAGCTCTTCAGTGAAGTATACTACAAATTCACAATATAGGATTTGGGGGAGTAATTTCTAAAGAAGTAAATCACCTAAAAAAATCTCCTGTGGCACATATTAAATTGTCTGTGTGGTACAGATATGAAACCAGGGTGGCATGTAGTAAAAGGAATAAAAAAAGAAAAGAAGTATTGGGATTCTATGGTTACCTTTGTTCAGTAAGGAATGAATGAGACGATACAATAGTATCAGATGGCAAAACAGACATTAAACACAATTCTGGATTCCAGAGCAAACAGATGCATAGATAAATGCAAGCACAGTTCCAAACTGACTGGATTGTTTAGCTTTGCACAGATTTTTAAATGACACAAAAAATAGAAGCATATTGCACTGGTGTTATTCAAGGAGCAAAAGACCTACATTACCATACAGAGCAAGGCTTTCACAAGAATTCTGAAAATAAAACATACAAAATAGACCGAACTGCACAGAACAATAGCCTCATAAGTGTTCTACTCGGAGATTCTGACTTCTTGATGTGAGGAGAACCAACATGCATATATCTCCAAGCACAAAAATAAGAAATATATTCTTTTCTCTTTAAAGACCAAATCCTGCTCATTTCATTGACGCAAATGGGAGTTTCATTTGACTAAAGTGAACAGGATTTATCCTCTAAATTCAAGTATGTTTTTGTAATGTAGGGGTGAAGGTTCAGCTGTGGGATTTCTGACTGATTTCTTATGGACTCATGCTGAGCAGATGTCAAGGGGGGGAAGCTTACATAAAAGCAAAATCCTGCAAATACAGCTACAAAGAACTTGGGAAGCAGTAGCACAAGCCTGGCCATATCAAAAGGCTCAAGCCAACTTTCAAAGTCTCCCCCAAAATGACAGCAAAAGCTAATACACTTTGTGAGGTTGGAAGCCCAGAAGGGGGGGAACAGTTGCGGTGAACTGATTCACGAGACAAGATGGAACCTGAGCTCTCTCGTTTGAAGCCATAATGCACGCCTTTTGAGAAAGTAATGGGAAAGGAAAAATCTCTAAAAAGATAGATGCAGTAAAGGAGGAAATGACTGTTATGAGAACAAACAAAAAATATTTAACATTAAAAAGGTTGAGTGAGTGAAGCAGAAAAACTGATTATTTCACTAGGGGACAAATGCAAGATGCTTGAGGAGGAAAACTCCTGACTTAATAAAGGATTCTCAACATGCCCTGGAACAAAAGACTGATGACCTGAAAAACAGCCTAGGTGAAATCATGTTTGTTTAATTGGGGTCTTAGGATATGCTAAACCCCACAACCTGGAAGAATTTTCAGAATCCATTCACCAAAATGCCTTTCAGCTCAATGATAATGATTTGCCTATTACCAGGACACATCCGGCAAGGAACTCACCTCTAAGAGCAACTAGGATCCACTGTTATGCAATTTCCAAACTCCCCTGCACTGAAATTGGTTCTATAGCAAGCTAGAAAAGCCAGCAAAATATGCTGTATCCCTGCCCATACCACATTATTTCTAGTCTGGAAATCCAGAATAAAGGTAGATATTGGCAGGGCCGGCTCTGGCTTTTTTGCCTGGGGCGGCAAAAAAGCCTCTGGCCGCCCCGCCCCCCCCCGCCCCAGCGCGGCAGGGGAGGGCGGCCGGAGCCCCGGGGGGAGGGCAGTGACCCCCAGCTGGGGCTCCGCTCTCCCCGGCAGCCAGAGCGCTGGGGGGAAGGCAGCGAGCCCGCCGCGGCTCCGCTGTCCCCGGCGGCCAGAGCGCCGGGGGGAGGGCGGCGAGCCCGCTGCGGCTCCGCTGTCCCCGGCAGCCAGAGTGCCGGGGGGAGGGCAGCGAGCCCCGGCCGTGGCCCCGCTGTCCCCGACAGCCGGAGCACCGCGCCACCCCCCTCCAGGTGCCGTCCCAAGCACCAGCTTGGTGGGCTGGTGCCTGGAGCCGGCCCTGGATATTGGATAAGATTAAAAATAAACTCGGTGCTAAAAAAAATAGTATCTGTTTTATCCAGCCTGGTTGAGGCGGTTGTGCAGTGCTTTACAACACCAAAAGAGACCTGGCTATTCCCTGTGATCTCCATAATGCAGTCACAAGGCGTTGGACCCATCAAGAATCAATAACATGCCCTCTAATTAAATTCTACAAAATTACTAACAAAAATCCTGTTAGTGAACTAGCATTGAATTAAATTCTACAAACATCTGCATGTATCCTTCCTTTGCAGACAGTGCTGAAAATATCAGAGGCTTTCCAAGGTTTCATAATTTGCCTTTACAAATAGTGCAACATCAACATCTGTTCTCCTCAAAGTGGGTTGTGACTTGGTGTACAGCGTGTCACCACTGTGTTCTGTTCCACGCTGAGTCCTCCCAGTTTGTTGGATTGATGCCTCCCTATTTAAGGTGTTTTTTAAGAATGACCTTGAAGCGCTTCCGCTGCCCTCCATGAGCCCTTCTTCCCTGACTTAACTGAGAGAAGAGCAGTTGCTTCAGGAGGTGTGTGTCAGGCACACGTACACAGTGACCAGCCCAGTTGAGTTGATGTTTCATGACCTGTGCTTCTACACTGCTGATGTTGGCTGCAGAGAAAATGCTGATGTTAGTACGTCGGTCTTTCCAGATGATCCTGAGAATCCTCCTGAGGCAGTGCTGCTGGAACCACTCCAGAAGCTTGAGCTGTAGGTTATCCAGGTCTCACACCCATAGAGAAGGGTAGGGATAACAGCTGTCTTGTAAACCAAGATCTTGGTGCCTGTTTGCAGATCCCTATCACTGAAGACTCCTCTGAGTAGTCTTCCAAAGGATGTGCTGACATAGCAGATCTGTATTTGATTTCTGTGTCAATGCTGGCTCTTTGGGAGAGTTGGCTGCCAAGGTATGGAAAAAGGTCCACATTTTCTAGGGGTTTTCCACTGATGGTGATTAGTAGAGTACAAAGAGTAGTTTGTGCAGGTGAGGGCTGGTACCTTGATTTTCCCGATGTTGAGAGAGAGACCCAGGCTGTGATAGGCATTTGCAAAAAGATTTAGGGAGCTTTGCAGGTCGGCCTCTGTGTGTGCGAGGATGACACAGTCATCTGCATACTGAAGATCAGAGATGCCAATTCTTGTGAACTTAGATTTTGTTTGGAGATGTCGGAGATTGAGGAGTTGGCCATCCATACAATACTCAATCCTGATTCTGTCAGGAAGGCGGTTACCAATGAGGATCAGGATCAGGATCACAGCAAGGTAAATGGAGAAGAGTGTTGGAGATTCAGCCCTGCTTGACACCAGTGCGAATGATGAATGGTTCTGTCTCTGAGCTGTTGCACAGAATGGTGGTAGTCATCCCATCATAGAGTAGTCTGATGATGGAAATTAATTTCTGTGAACAGCCAAACCTACAAAACACTTTCCATAGGACATCATGACTGATAGAGTCAAAGGCCTTGGTTAGGTCGATAAATGCCATGAACAGTTCCTGGTTTTGCTCTCTGCACTTCTCCTGACTCTCTCGTGCCATGAAGATCATGTCCGTTGTGCCCGAGATGGCCTGAAGCCACACTGTGATTTGGGGAGAAGTTCCTCAGCCAGGGGAACGAGGCAGTTTAATAGGATCTGGGCAAGGATCTTCTCTATGATGGAGAAGAGGGCAATACCTCTATAGTTTCTGCACAAACATTTGTCACCTTTCTTGAATATTGTAACAATGTTGGTGTTCTTAAATTCAGGTGGAATTTCTTTGCAGGTCCAGATTTTGTCAACGAGTTGGCAAAGTTTGTGCTGGAGCATTGTTCCACCAGCTTTAATAATCTCAGCAGGGATGCCGTCTGGGCCTGGTGCCTTGTAATTTTTTGTCTGGGTGATGGTATGCCAGACTTCTTCAGAAGATGGGGGATCAGCAAGGTGTTCCATTGCTGAGCGTTGTGGAATGAACTTGATGGTGTCTTCAGAGACTGTGGATCTGTGGTTTAGAAAGCTCTCAAAGTGCTCCTTCCAGCGTTGTTTAATGGCTTCATTGTCCTTGAGGAGGGTGGAGCGTAAGGGGTTTGGGCCTTTGGAACTTGGCCCATATATAGCTTTTGTTACTTGAAAGAAGCTTCTCATGTGATCCTGGTCTACGAAACCCTGGATCTCAGAGGCCTTTCTCTTGCCAACACTTTTTTTTTATGTCACATAACCTCCTTTAGTCTTTGACTTTGGGCAAGTGATAAGCCTCATGTTTTCATTGGTTAGAGGAATCATTTTGCCAGGTACAGAATGTATTTCTTTTCTTTTGAATTAATGGTAGGATTTCCTCATTATTTTCATCAAACCAGTTCTGGTGCCGATGAGTGGAATATCGTATGGAAGTGGTGGGCAACCTGTGGCCCATGACGGGCCGCGGGTTTCCCTCCACTGTCCTAGTTTCAGCATATGGACTGTGAATAGCATTTTTAAGTTGAACCCAGTGCTCTTGAATGTCAATTATATTATCAGGCAAGTTAGAGAGTTTCTCAGACAAGTGTTGCTGGAAAGTCTCGCAGCTGGCTTGGTCTTGAAGTGCTTTGATGTTGTACCACTTTCGCTTAGTCTTTGGGTGTTTGCAGTGTGGTGGAGCGAGCTGCAGGTACATGAATGATCTTACTAATCAGTGGTCTGTCCAACAGTGATCTGTACCTCTCATGGCTCATGTTATACGGCCGTTGGTGTAATCTCAGGCTCTGATTATAACATAGTCAAGGAGGTGCCAGTGTTTGGACCGAGGATGTTTCCAGGTGGTCTTAAATTTGTTGCTCTGACTAAAGATGGTATTTGTGATGAGCAGGTCATGCTCCACACATTTGCTGAGGAGGAGAATACCATTGAGATTTACATTTCCCAATCCTTCTTTGCCTATTGTGCTACTCCAGAGTTGGGAGTCCCATCCGACTCTGGCATTGAAATCTCCCAGGAAGATGAGTTTCTCTGCCTTAGGTGTGGCAGTGAAGACTACATCAAGAGCGTTGTAAAACTGCTCTTTGTTGACTTCCTCATCATTGAGTGTTGGGGCGTATGCACTGATTCATAGGTTCATAGAATCTAGGACTTGAAGGGACCTCGAGAGGTCATCGAGTCCAGTCCCCTGCTCTCATGGCAGGACCAAATACTATCTAGACCATCCCTGATAGACATTTATCTAACCTACTCTTAAATATCTCCAGAGATGGAGATTCCACAACCTCCCTAGGCAGTTTATTCCAGTGTTTAACCACCCTGACAGTTAGGAACTTTTTCCTAATGTCCAACCTAAACCTCCCTTGTT